GGGCAGGCACGGGCCCTGCCGAGCAGCCACGGAACTCCCTGTGGCCACGATGGGGAAGAAAGGGTCTAAGAAAACCCTCTTAGGCCTGGGGGAGGCAAATCTGCTGTTCTTCCCCCTCCCCAGCTGCGAGCTGGCGTTATCGGCCTGGGGATGGGCCGCAGCACCTTGCTTCGAGAGGTTCCTGTGGGTCCTGTTTTGCTCCAGGACCCGGGTACCACCTGGGCAAGGAGACGTGCGCTGTGCTTGGCTCGTCACGGAAATGCCTCGGAAGTTAAATTTATACAGCAGGTACTGAGCTACAGAGCATATGAAACCCCTATGCTTAAGCTGTTGCGGCTAAGGCGTTAGGCATGGCAGGAGATAAGCCCTAACGATACGTCTCTGTTAGCTGGTTGCTCTGAAAAATACCTACAGGTATCTGGAGAGAGCTGTTTGCCAGGAACTCCGTGGATTCAGCTCTTTATTGATTTTTAAGGATGAAATAGAGCTATTACAAAGAAAAAGACTTGTGCAGGCAGCTTCTTTTGGAACAACTCTCTTGCACAACTATGTAAGAGAGCCACTATTACCCCCACTCTTTTTCTCAGAGATACTCTTGAAAATTTAATTCTCCCAGCAAGTAATACTGCTTAGAAGACTGAGAAAAAGCCCCTCTCACGTTTCTGGAGAGAGTTTGAACAGTGCTGGACTAACACTCAAATTTCAAGTCACAGCCCTAGACCAGTTCTTTCTGCACAGTCCTGCATATTCTTGTGTTCCTTCCTCACAGACTTATATCTCTCAAGTTCAAGGGGATTTGTGAAATTACTGTATGGCCTTTGTTCTCCTGACAAAATTCCTCTCTATTATTAAACTTAGCACTTTACCCTAGCTGATTCCTTCCTCTTTGCAGGGAAATCTCTCTGCATTTACTATTCTGATAGAAACAATAGTGAAGGTGACATTTGCTCAGATTGTTGTTTAGTGGCACTATTTGTCAGATTAAAATTTCCTAGAGCATTAAAATTTGCCAGAGCGAATATTTTCAGGTTGATCTTTAAGCAAGAACAGACGTATGTGGCGTTGCGCTGACGTGGTTTTCCTGATGAGTTGGAGTAGAACCTTTCCTACCGTTAAAGGAAAAATGCACAAGTTCAGGTACTCGCAGAGCTGCCTGTTAGGGAGTTCGGGAGTCTCAAATACCACTCGCTGTTTGCAAAATGTAAAAATGAAAAGGAGAGGGGGAAAACTATGACTTTATAGTACTTTAAATAACATCCCCCAAATGTTTACCTCTGCTCTTACAGGCCCATTCAGAAGGTGAATGAAGGGATGGTAAACGCAGCCAATTGTTTACATCTTTTCATCCCATTACTATCGTTCTAACTTTCCAGTTGAGTAACAGATTCCTGCATTTCAGACTACCCATCTGATAGGAATTAGTGTTATCTACTTAAGGGCCAGATTTTTTCCGCTGGGTTTGGCAGATCTAAGATGGTGCTACTTCACACAAAAGATCAAATTTGAACATTAATCTTCTACAACACAAGCCTGGTAATCCTAGCCTCTGCAGATTAAATGTTGGCCTCCTTCTGTTGCCACTGAAGTGAACAAAATTTCACGGTAAGCTTTTCAATTTCAGAGGAGCTAGGAGGAAGGACCCACATCTGTTACCTCCTTGCCTATGCTGAGAACTTTCTGACGATGACCAGAAGCAAAGTCTCAGATGAGATCCTTGGTGACAATTGCGCCTGATATAGTGATGTTTAAGTAGCATTTAGGAGGAGAGATTTTCTCCCAGTTAACAGTTCAAAGTTGGTTACAAGAGCTCACTGAAGCCTCTCCATTTCCCAACAGCCAATATGCTGGCCTGCTCCTCTGGTGCTTTGCCCCAAGACTAAATATGTTCTAGTTTTGTGGGTTCATTACTGAAGTGCAGCATTCCTGACATACACCTACTCTGGCAACTCTTTGACTTCACAGCCTGAATTCAAATTCATTTCTAATCATGGGATTGAAGTCCTGTAATAAATTCTGATATGTGGTCCTAGTCAGTTTTATCCTCTGCAAGGGATTAAAATAGCTAATACCTCTGTTTCTCTGACACAAAGAAGCTTGCCATGTCCAAGCATTTTACATACAGTATGAACCTTCTTTATCAGCTGGGAAACTCCCCCTTGCTCTCATCTCTTTAAATGAGGACCAGCCCATCTCAGTTAAGTTGAAGAGAAGCTGTTTTCAGAAGAAAACATCTTCTAGAAAGCAGTTCTGTGTAAAAGTCAGTGAGCGGCTGGTGGATGGAGAGACACTCAGAAAACAAGAAACTCCCCTACTGAGGACAGCAGTTTGCCCTGTCATCACTACATGAAAAAAAACACCTATCCAGATCTGCAGCCATGCAGGTGCTGGGGTGCAGGCAGGTGAGGGGAGACAGCTGCTGGGAGAGGAAGAGGCAGGAGGAATCAGGCAGCATGTCCAGTCTGGTTTATCCTCCCTCTTTGCAACAGCCTCTCTGCACCCCACTGGGTCTGGTTTCTCCATCATAACAGAATAAACTTGATATTCTTCGCCTCCCTCTGACTCCAACCTGTGTGATGGCCGTTTGGAGCTGTATGTAGTCTGGATTTTCTGTTGCAGTAAAGGACTAAAGTGGTTTTTAAATGATTGACAAGGCTTATTGGTGGCTTCTAAATCACATTTGAGTACGTCTGGGGAACTTCGGCTGCAGTGCTGCTCCTCAGCAGGCTGAAGTTTCATCTTCCATTTAGAGAAGGCCCTGGATCTTTCTAAACGTTGCCTAGCAGTGAAGGAGACAGAGCTATAAAAGACAGCATTTTCAGTGTGCTGCTGAAAGTGAAATTGTGGCTGCTCCAGCCACACTTAGGCTACAAACAGGATTTCTTTGCAATGGTTGTCATGGGCCTGGTGCTGGGATCTCATGCCTACCTATCGCATTAAAAATAATTATAATACTGCTTAGGTCTCTCATTTGCAAGGGGTGCTCACTCTTTTAGTGTCTGAAACACAGGAAAATACTTTTGCTTTGGGCCAGTGCTTTTAATCAGCCTTCCCTCACCTTTGAGGGTTTTCCAGAAAGTCCTGAATTTGCAGAAAGATTGGGAAGGGCACAAGCAGGGTGCTGCTACACTGCGCTGGAAGGAGCACAGGAAAGGATTTGGAGATAAGGTCAAGAAAGAGAAAACATGGCATCTTCTGCAGAGCAAGAGGTGGAAAATTAGTGATAACTCAGGCCAGAGTGCTGCTGGAGAAGTGGAGAGCTTTGACATTCAGACCTGCTCGGGAAGGTGGCAGAGACCCTGCAAGGGAGGCTGTGTGTCATCAGCAGTAGGCACCCAGGGGAAACAGCCACCTCACAGCCTGTGTTTCTAACAAGCAATAAAAAGCCACTTCACATAAATGCAGTGCAATTTTCTTTTCCTCCTGGCAGGTTTATTTTCCCCTCCTATCATAAGTGCCATGGGGATTGCTCACTGGGGGATGATACCCTGGGGAAAATGGGTGAGTGCTGCCAGTGCTGGGCCCAGTGGGTTTCTGTTCTTTGCTAAGACACACTCCTAGAAGGCTGGTGAATCTGACAGAGAGTAGCAGCAGGTTATTCGGGGGGACAGAAGACACCAACAAGGAGAGGGCCCCTGCTCTTCAGGTTTCCCTGCTAATCTTGGGACATGCCCGTGTCTCCGGTCTGTGACTGTTCTGCAAGTATGCGCAGGGCTTCGGTCACCAGGGGAAATTCAAGCTCAGAGTTTCAGAGCTGGGATTCTTTCAAATGGGCACAACGTAAATCTGTTTTGACCTGATTTGCAGCTCTGTTTCAGTCAAGCCCTCATTTAACTGAGCCTGTAAAACATGCGAAAGTTCCACCAGGTTCATGCTGTCCCTTGTTTTCCAGCTAGTTCTAAGCAGAGCAGAGTCTCCAGAACTGAGAGTGGTTTCTAAAAAACCTGCAACCCAGAACATGCATGTACATAATGTCTATAGAAACTACTTCATTGCATCTATTGCCATTCCAGAGCAGACCACATCAAACAATAGAGTTACTGTGCACTATCAAACTACCAGACAACTAATTAGGTCAGGAATAGAAGGAGCAAATGGATAGATGATTGAACTGTTGTTCATAAGACCCATATGACAAGAAAGATGCCTCATCTAGATTCCTCATCAGCAGTAAGGATACAGTTTCTGTAGTTTTGACTATAAAGGCAATTTTTAAAAGAATTATGCCACTGCCTACTGAAATATTGCTTTGGAGTTAAGCTAGGCTCTGCCAAATCAATTGGCCTGCCTGACCTATATATTCCGTCTATTGACATGCAGCCTGCTTTACTCTTTTGGCAGTTGTTTCAGTAAAAATTCAATGTGCTGATCTCCAGAGCCCAAGGACAGGCCAATTGCTGGAAATGGAAAGCAAGTTTAGTGCCAAGTGACCTGTCCTGACATGGGATTGCCACCTCCATGGTATTGTCACGCTCTAGTACCATCCTCTTTCCTGCACAAAAGGTTTCAGCCCTAAGCATAGAGGAGGAAAAGGAGGCAGCATTCACTTTTTCCCTCCCTTCCTAACCTCTTCTCCCCCCTGTTATCTAGCACCTAGAACAAGAGAAACATGAACTAAGGAGGCGATTTGAGAACAGAGAAGGAGAATGGGAAGGAAGGGTGTCTGAACTGGAAAGCGACGTGAAGCAGCTGCAGGATGAGCTGGAGAGGCAGCAGGTTCACCTGCGTGAAGCCGACCGCGAGAAGACACGGGCCGTCCAGGAACTCTCCGAACAGAACCAAAGACTCCTGGACCAGCTCAGCAGGGTGAGTAACCGCAGCACAGTGAGGGCAGGCACCCAGCCGCCTTGGTCGTGGGAAAGGCTTGCAGCTCTGCTATAAACCACCATTCAGGCAAACGAGCAGGAAAGCTTCCTTTTTAAGGAAAAAAAAAAAATGATTCTGCATCTGATCAGATTACATGGGTGTCCCTATAAAACATGCTGCCTTGAAACTGAATTTTACACCTTTAAGGAGTGCTGCATTTCATTGGCAAAACAGTTACGTTTCTGGGTTGAGCGGTCATTTACTGCATAGATGTCTCTCTCAACTGTTTTTGTATCTCAAACTGATTTAGAAAATCTGTTTCTAATTTACAAATAGGCTGAACAAATGTAGCACACAAGAAAAAGGCTAATCTGTGACAGTGAGGCAAAAGGCTTTTTGCTGGCCTCCCTTTTTTGACATACATTGGCTATAATGTTGTAGAATTGAACATACCATGTCATTCTAAGATGGTGTGTTCCTGCAGATAACTTTGCCATGGTTAGGTGTGTGAGAACCTACTGAAATTCCTTGGAATGGCATGTTTCAGCAAAGAGCTTAACTTGCCTCTGAACGAAAGAGGATTTATAGTGAGGCTGCTACAAATCAGCCTAATTGACTGAATACTTCCAGCATGGGTTTCTTTCTGACAGCAAGAGACTTAACAGTTTCTGCCTCCTCCCCCAGAAGTTAACCTGTCTTCTAGAATTAAGAACCTTGCTTTTTTTCTCCCCACTGGACAGTTAGTACAAACCATAATTTTAATGCTTGAGAACACAGTTACTCCAGCAGATGAAAGCATTTTCTTCTCACCAGTTCCTTATCCCCAAAATAGCACAGAACAAAAACACACACCACAGACTCATGCTGAAGAGGCCCATCTAATGTCGTAAGAGCACGTTTCAGACTACACTGTCAGAAGTGAGTCTGTGGGGCTAACGCAGGGATTGCCTAATGGAGGGTCGAAGTCTTGTTCACAACACTAGGACCAGAAGACTATGAAATGGGCCAAGTGTACAGGTCTCTTAATTTGTCTTCACTCGATATGGGTATGCAGTTTTCCTGTGCCTCTGGAGGTGAGAAGAGCAAGTCTTGGGTATAACACTCTGTACCAGCACTTGAAGAAATCATTCCTCATTCTGCTATAGATTTTCTTGTCAAGTACTAAAAAAAGCCACTTAGTCTGTGGATTTGTTTTTTAACCGGCTTTAAAAAAAAAACAAAACCACAGACCCCCTAACTTCCTTAACTCAGGAACACTGCTAAGTTTATCCGTGTTTTTAAAGCAATATTTGCCAAGGTAGCAGATGAGCTAGTGAAGATCTTTCACCTCTTCTCTGGGCAAAGCATATTTCATAAGACCCATAAGACATACAACATGGATGAGAGATTCCACCCAAGCCCTTGCAGAGCTCCTGTGTTATGTCAGGCTTCTTATCCAGGGCTAAGAACTTGGCTCCCATCAGATTTGGTGACCCTCAGTGATTTTCTATGTGCGCATGATTTCCATCACTGGCTGGGAAATGTAAGATTTGTTCTGGTCCCAGCAGAACCACAAAAGACCAGTCTAGAAGATAGGAGAGGAAAACCAGACAGCTTGCTTTGGGCTTTAAACTGCATGGGATTATCCTCACGTGACACTTGTGCTACAGGAGCCTCTCACAGCCCAGATGCTCAGAGAGCATCAGCTAAGCCTTGTGCAAAGGAACCACCAAGTTAGGTCTACCAGCATGCAATGTCCAAGCATGGGTTTTGTTCCCTTAACTCCCTATTACTGCCAGAAATAGTCTTCATCCACCCACTTCAGAACTGCCACATCCTGGGAAAAAGTTGAGTCTTGGTGCTGCCCTCGCTGCTCCAGCCCAGTCCTGCTCCCAGCTTGGAGATGAGGACTGTTGTTCTCCAACACAGATGAGGCAGACTGATAGAGACAGCTTACACTTGCTGAGGCACAATTCAGTGCTCATTGAGTTTGTCACCTGGCCAAAACTTGCTAGTAACTCAAATATAGCAAGGGATATAGCAAGGGTGTAAACAGTCTTCCTAGAGTCATGAGAATCTGGGCAAATTGAAACAGAGTTGGAACTGGTCTGTTGTCATTCACTCAGGGCTTTGGTTGAAGCTTTTTAAAATCTCAGCATTATATTAGCATTTGATTACTGGGTGCTTGGTATTCCACATTTGCTGCTCCATAGTGCAATTGCAGTCTTATTTATCTGGTCTCTTATTCTGAAGAGGTTATGCATGTAATCCTTGAGGCAGTGGTAGTGCTTAAACCCTGCACCCACATGGTTCTGGCTGCTGTTACTACTTCGTCTTTCAATAAATGAAAAGGACAAATACAGCTGCATGGATATGCTTGCCTACAGCTGTATTGCCATACGCAGGAGTCTTGCTGAGGATCACAAACTGAGCACCAGGAGAGGAAAAACCCTACAAAGAAGTGCTGTTACAGCTTCTGTGAACTTTGAGGCATTGCTGGTATCCTCCTTGTGTTCCTGGTTCTGCATTTTGCACCTGCATTTTTTGTCACAGTGGGTTGTTTGGGAGGAGAGGGTTATGAGAAGTCTGTGATACGGCAATGAAAGCCTTATTCAGAGCCTCAACTCTGCCCCATCCGACACTGTATACCCTACTAGAGGGCTTCACTCACAAGGCAGAAAGAAAGGGTCCTCTCTGGTACAAGTCATTCTACACTAGTAGGTACTAGCTCTTTAAATTTGAATTTCTACAGTTTTTAGCGATTAACACCTCATGGCCCAATTTCCAATACTTGAGCATCTCTCTCCTGGGGAAAGTATTCCCTTGGCACTAGGCTGTATATGTCAAATGACAGTCTCAGCCTCACGAGTGACCAGCCCACGTGGTCCTGCTTGCTCCTTCCGGGGTCCCTGGACTTCAGCCCCTTTTACCTCAAAGCAGAGCAGCATCCACCATCTCCTTCATCCTACCCCTCCTCAGTCCTGCTGCTGTGATATTCTTTCACCAACTAATTAAGCTTTAGGACATTTTTTTAACCCTGCCTTCCCCAGAGATGAAAGGCCAACCCAAGCACATACTTTTTTCCAGTTTAAACCTAGCACAAATGCTAACCAACCAAGCACGCAGTCCCACACACCCACACAAGGATAGCAAAGGGACCTGGAAAGCTCTGTCTTGCAAATAAAGCATGGGACTGAAAAAAATCCATCCTCAATTCTGGCAAAGACTGATAAGGAAAACTCAAGGATGGGGATTTTAAGTCTGTTCCAGTCTCTAAAAATGGGGATAACTGTCTTGCCTCAGAGTCACCAAGAGGCTAAAATAAGGTCCATAAAATGATTTGAGGTCTTCAGATGAGATGATATAGGAGAACTTTAGATATCTAATAATAGTAAGTAGGCTATAAGGAACTTTGTCTCCTCTTGAATGCAGCCTTTTGTGTGGTTCTCTGCTTTTAGCAGAACGGAGATACTGCCCAGGGTTACAGCAGTATTAAACCATGGGGAAATTAGGTGGGCTGGACTGGGAGCTCATAGTGAAAGACATGATTCAGATGCCAAAGATCAAGTTTAAGATTTCCACAGTAACCTTATTTTTTAATTTGCTAAGTGATGATTAAAATCCCTTCTGCATGTTGATTTGATTTCCCTCCCCCTGCCTCAGCACAGCAAAGCATGTAGTAACTCTCAGCAGTGTGTCCACACCAAGCTAAATGCCGATTTTACCTAGGAAAACTGCAGAGCACATTACGAGCAGTATGCCAAGGTACGTACCACTCACCATAAATGCTCAAGTACAGGAGTCAAAGTACAGTTTTGCTGAGAAAGTCGAGGCTTGGGAATTATTACATGTTCTGTTTCCAGCTCCTTCAGTCTCTCCCATCTGTTTCAGTTCCCCATTTGGAAAAAAAAAATCCTATGCTTTCTGTCCTTTTAAATTATAAAATTTGGGGGGAACGGGTATAGGGAAAGGTCTCCTCTTACATGTGCCCACAGCACCTAACACAGCAAGAGTCCTGTCCCCACCTTTGGGCTTCTAGGAGCTACTAATGCAAATAACAACAACAAGCAGCCCTCTTCCTGTAACAAGGCAACACATTACTACTTTGTCAGGGAGTGAATGAAAAAAGACTTTCACACTGTTTCTAAGTGGCTTCACCAGATGGCTTTCCCACACATTTCCTGCTACCAAGCTCTGGGCTCCCGTAGCTGTTTGCTGCATGTAGCTTGGGCGAGGATGCATCCTTCCCAGTTCAGCTGGGCTTCTTTTATGGTACATAGAGCATAAGGAAGTAATTTCACAATGTCAAGCTCAGGTAGTTTTTGCAATGAAAATCTGTTTTCAGTGGCAGGAAGAAGCGTGTCATCTTGCACTGCTGAAATAGCTCTTTGTGTTTAGAGAGGAGTGCTCGGCTGCTGCGGCATCCCTCACAGGGGCCCTCAATCACCAAGTTCTTATATTCACTCAGCAACTAGTGCCAACGTACTGCTACCAAGAATGAGGTGTTTCAGCCGGTCCCTCTGGTACAGCAAGAAAACAATCAGCCAGCTCACAAGTCTCCAAAGGAGGTTTTATTTGCTAGCCACAAACCCTTCCTTTCAGTAATATTTCAATCGAAGGAGTTTTGTTTCTAACTTTGCGCTGTAACATGCAGCATAGCTTCAGAGAACTGGCAGGCACTGCCTGGCTTTGATTTGAGAGAAACATTTTTATTCAAGAAAGAACTGACCATATTATATTTGCCTTTCCAAATCACTTTTACTTTAAATACATCCTTTTGTGGTCAGCAACATAGTTACAAGAGAGGCAGCTCTGTTGACAATTATTGATCTGAAGAGCTTTTCCTGAATGGTTGTTTGTTGGGTCTATCAGCATAGGAACAATGTTGGTTTTAAGAAAACCAGACTAATCATTGAAAAAAGTTACTGGAAAAAGTGTGCTGGGCAAGATTCATTGCTTTTGCCATGCCAGAGCTCTGTAGCCATTACACTGTGAGCTAGCTTGTCTTTAATTCCTTATTT